CCGCTGTCGTGACGCGCCGCAGCCGCATCTGCGACCCTTCGACAGCCTAATCAACTACCCGGATGACGACATTACATGGTTGTGAATACATTTGGGGAAAAAGATGACTTTGGAGTATGGGACAGGTACTCAATATGCAGATAACTAATGTGACGATGTAACTTTTAACAATGAGGAATCAAAATCCAATCCCTTTTACGGCTTCTAGAGCCAGAATATGTCGCTTTGAAAGCTTGCTCCCCCGTTCCACGAGAACCAGGTGGAAGTGTATTGTGAAAATTTGTGGTTCACCTTAGAAGTATTCGAAACCAGCGGAGCCCTGCTATCTTTTGCTTTAATTTTGCTTCTAGGATCGCTTTAATGTACTAGACGTGTCCTGACACTGATGAGAATTTTTCAGAAATGGAAAAGCTTCTCGCTCCCATACGGCAGAAACGTGAAAAGTCATCTGGGCCTGTCATATCTGAACCGAACTACTTCTTTCAGGAATTTTTCCTTGAATTGCTAATAACTTGTGCGCAAATACCTAGCTGTAATCTTCCGAATTCTGTTCTTGTTAGTCCTTTGATTAATGTATAGTCGGTCCGATTACGTATTTGAATCTTAGGCCGAGTCGAGAGATGGGTTCCGAGACCAAGCGCGTGGTAAGGGAAAACACTTGCCTCTAAAGCACTTCTCAATAAGAAGTTTTTATATTCTTATGTTCAAACAGGTGAATAGATTGAGCCGTCCAAGATTGTTATAATTTATTGGCCAACGTTTCGGCTACTTCGCCTTCGTCAGGGCCTGAAAGAGTCCAAGAACAATTGAGATCTGTCCCCTCAAACGCCTTAACAAAACTTAAGACTATTTCGAGATCCTAGTAAACCACCTAACGGTATCGATCGATAAGGTGAGTAGGCTTACCTAGATCTCAGCCGCGACGACGTGAGACCGACCACCCAAGCTGTAGTACTGATTAGTGAGCTGCTACCTCCACCCCGCGACCTCGACCTCATGTAGATCAAAAACCGCAAAGGTCGGCAAAGGGCGCGAGTTCACGGGTTATGGCTAAACATTCCTCTTTCCTGTTCATTAGGGGGTCTTTCGCCGAAATCCAAAACGCTTCCAAGGTTTTCCGCGCAGTGATTTCAGGCTCCTGTGCCAGGATGGACACCGTCACCTGAAATTCGGCATCCCCATGATACTCAACACGATGGCTACCAAGTGGCGTCCGGACCTGTGATCTTCGCAAGCCATCCAAGTGCTCTTTAACACGTACGCACAAAGGACGGCCCGTTTCCCCCACATATTCACTATCACATGTGAGGCAGCGTATTGAATAGATCACCCCCGACTTCATGCAATCACCTGCTCTACCGGAGGGGCACACCACACATTCCGGGGTATCACATGAATAGTCATAGAGGCGATTACGTACGAGGAGACGTTTTAAGTTGTTTGGGGGTATTTCTACCACCCTAACGTCTTCTTGCAAGCCACATCTGTGCAGACTCGAACGGATCGCCCGGCTAACTTCTTCCGAAATAAACGGGAAACAAAATGGTATTTTCTCGGAAGATATTCCGTCTGTGACCCCGTGACGTCTGGTAGATCCCCTGCGCAATGGTCGCGACTCCAAATAACCGTTAGATACCGCAATCTTTTTAGCCATATCGACCGATTCTTGTTCTAATGCAGGATCAGAGGAGACCCTGCTAGCAGTTTTAAACATATTGTTAATGACTGCTTGCTTTGTCCTTGTCGGATGTGCTGAATTGCAGTGAACAAGAATATTCTTATTGCTCGGCTTGCGGTACCATTTGGTTCTAACCGTGTTCCCCATCAAGTGAATTTGAATATTGAGGAAGGGCAGCCAGTTCTCTACAGGATGTTCTCGTGTAAACTTTATATTGATGGACTGTTCATTCAGAAGGGCGAAACACTTATATTCTTATGTTATAGAATATATTGATGGATTCCAGGGCACGTCCTGCCGCTAGGGGAAATCTTTGCAAAACAATAGTTCCCCCCCCCTCAGGAATTTCCTCTTTTGGTGCGATCCCTCCTACAAGATTCCCCATCTTCCTAAATTTTCCTCTCCCTCTCAATGGAACGAGGTCCAGCGCGGCGGGACAAGGGAGGGAGGGTTCATATAGCGGAGGTGGAATGGAAATGTCAAGGAAAGCCAACAAACAAAGACATTTTTTCCAGAGGTGACCACTCGACCAAAACCAGCCCTCCTCCCCCGTGCTAGGGATTCTCAAAGCGCGACGTGCCTACTCAGATACTGCTCCTAATATTTTCGATCTAAAAGGGAAATAAGTAAGCTTGAATCATCGAAGATGCCGTCTCTTGGCTTGTTCAAGTTTCATTAGCTTTTGCATCCGGTCAGTAACTAGTAACTCTGTGCTAAAAGTGCGGAACTAATCGCCCCACCTGAGATGAAAGAACTCGGTGGCTTACGTAAGAATCATGACCTCATTAGCGAAGTACTACACAAGAACTATCTTTCCTCAGTGATTCATTCATTTTCACATTGATTTTAGGAGCAGTTCGGAGACAGAGAGGGGCATTTCGCACTCGCGCTTTTTCCCATTGTCGCGTTCATCGTTTTACAAGCAATGACAGGTATAACAGGTATTCTTCACAAGAGTTGACAAGAACTTCCGACAGTCTTTGAGTGGTATCAATGCACTGCTTCACCGGACTTCACAATTTTCTACTTGATGGCTTCACACAAGAAAGAGAAACAGTGAAAATGCGAAATGCCCCCCCCCCTCGACGTCGATGTGCGCCTGACTTTGTTTCCTAGTAGGTGGAAATCGCCGAAAACCCGATGCAACACGAACCACTTTCAAAAAATTCATCACATTACGCGGATACAGTGCGACATAAACGATATGCATACATCATAGCACATTGAGTAAAGTATGGCACCATATGAAATCATCTGAGTGGCCAAAGAAAAAGGCTTGCGAGATGGCGTTGACGATCATTTGGTTCTCCTTGCATTCATGAGATCGAGTCCCTCGACTAACAATATTCTCACATATCCGTTGCATCGTATTGAACTTGCGTATTCACCAAAGGATCTTCACGGATTAACGACGTGTCGCTTCGTTCACAGTCTCGCCCGCTTCTCGGAGTGATACTCATTCGATATGCTTTGGTCTGATCAGTGACCAATAACTGAAATTGATAGCGATTAGTGGTAAACTACTTGCAAAAATCGGGAAAGTATGTCAATTTATACTCCATGCTTCATTAATCTACTCTCTACCATGCCCTGTGCTCGAAGGTACCACAAAAGACACTCGGAAGTACCAAAAAAAGACACACTCCGTGATTAAAGTTCAAGGGTCCGAACATGAACTCGCAGAAGTCGAATAACTTCACCTGATCACCCGTACTCCCGTTGATCATCGAGTTGCTCGACTGGGTGCCAGTAACGCCTCCATTCGTTCCTGCAACGCGCTAGAGTTGCCCTGAGCTCGAGGGACACGACGAACGTCATATCATTTGTTCTGAGTTCACTTCCTGTCCACTTGAAGGCAGTTGGCACGATAAATCCCCCAAGACGACTAGGATCAACTCCTGGCAGGATAGAATTCCGCGACCCTGGGCAGGCGCTGCATAGCGGTTTCCCCGAGGAAGGTGCCCTTATAAGGGCCCTATCAAGCCACAACTTTACGTCCCAAACGCCCGCCCACAAATGGACGACCGTTCCTGACGCTCGTATTCATTCATTTGCTAAGCAAAGCGAAGGGATTGGTATGAAGCGGCCGTGATGCTGCATGCATACATGGGTACACATATGCAGCCGTATCTTCGGTAGCGGTGATTGGTAAGATGGGAAACTCGTCCGAAATCGATTTACAAGTCACTGAGAACGGAGGCTTTTTCTTCGCAGGATTTTGACCGTTTCACTCCGTTCTTTCGCCATTTCCCCACTATACAGCGCCCTACTAGCATTTTAGGCTAAGTAGGAAACCATCGTGCCAACTGCCTTTAAATATTGCGTCCAGGCTCTCTTCAGTGCAGTCGTTTCTCGCTTTCTGGAGATTTTCTCGGGGAAGCGATTTCAATCCTGTTTTTATTTTTTTTCTGTTGCCGTAGTCAGAGCGGATGAATTTCCAGAGAATCGAGAAATAACTGCACGGCAGAGAGGCCAGAGACAGAGGAAGGAATAGTAATATGTAAAACGACAAAGGTCGGTCCTACATAGAATGACAGCAACGTGTCTATAGAATCGCTGGCAGACACCTCTTCCACCCTGGAGAAACACCTACACGTGTGCCGTCCCTTTGGCTGTTCAGCCACTCAACGGCAAACCGTACACTCACCTAGGAGGAGGACCTTTGCCAATCTTGAGGTCACAAGTGTGTGGGGCGGGACTAAAGGGCAGGCGGTACAGCTGTCTTCATACTCCACCCGCGCTGTTTTGGAGGTGCAGCATCTGCGTCTATACGAAAGCCCCACCCCGAAAGCCCCACAGCTCAGCTGTAAAGAGCTACCAATTAGTAAGAAGCGCAGATAAGTAGCATTTGGTTGAGCATGTGGCTGGCCGAGCGGCAGTGCCTGTGGGGTAGGGGTATGGAGGCAACACCTTGGTACCACTAACATCCAGCTCCGTTCTCGTGAATTTTTGGCCGGAGAAGAGGTACGCTGCAGCAGATGAGGGCGCAATCTCCTTATACACGATATGGAACAGGCTCCACGGAGGTGAGTGTACGTCTGTCTTTGAGTGAAATAACTTTGAGCATTGTGGACTACTCTACTCTATCCATCAGGTAATCACGGAATGTGTCTTCATCGTATGAGGGTGCGCTACCTTGTGCAACTAATCGATACTCGATACGGTTGTATGCAGTGTGCAGAAGAAAGAAAAATAGTGCGGAAGTTCTGTTTGCCGCAATGTGGAGACGTTAAAGTATTGTACACTCACCTCCGAGTACGGTACTCGTCATGCACGATGCGTCATGACGTCCTACGTCGGGAGTGCCCCACGGGGAAGGAGATCGTATTTGGAGCGGAAATTAGTTGATTTTCTCTGTTTCAAGCGCAATATCCACGATATATATATAGCGTGTTTCATCGTGAGGAAACTTCAGTGAAGGAGGGTGTATTCGCTCGTCATTGGTGGGGGAGAATGTATCGCCTTTAGTGCATTTGCCTTTAATAGAAATTTGCCGCGTTGCGAAAAACTTTTTCCGGTTCCAGTTGTTGACTTTTCCCGCTTCACTGGTGCTATACCATAGGAGCGAAAAACTCACCCGGGCTCGAATGCGGCGCGGTTTTGACGTCAGCGCCGCGGTAGAGCGGAGCGAAGGGCGATGGCTTGCGCCTCCGTCACTGTGCTACCATCAGCGCCCAGTTTATGCGGAAGGAAAAAGAGAGAAAAGAAGATTGAACAAATAGTGGATGCTTGAAGGCAATTCCCGCGACCACACTTCATAGGTAATACAGTTCAAAAATAGAATTGCCCTGTGATTGTTGACTTATTGAAGAGAAGGAACCACGAAAAAGCGCCCGCAATAAGACCCTCTTTATTTCAATTGATCATGATCACCGGCCTTTCCTCACATCAGAAGTACGCCATGCAGTCCAGACGATGGCGCGAGGGAAAGCACCCGGAAAGGACGGTATCACAGTAGAACTACTCCAGGCGTGTGGATCACCTCTCTATCAAGCCCTTGCCAAACGATATACTCGCTACCTGGTCGAAAGTGCGGTGCCAACGGCATGGAAACAGTCATCGACGGTGTTGTTGTTCAAGAAAGGCGATAAGGAAGACCTGGCGAACTACAGGCCAATCACGCTTTTAATCACCTCTTGTACTCACATTTGTAGACTACAAGAAGGCGTTCGATTCGGTAGAGCCAATGAAGGTTTGGGAATCGCTAGAAGAGCAAGGAATTGAGAAGATCTACATCGACGTGCTGCAGGAATGTTACACCGATTGTACTACCACGTTCCGCCCCTTTTTCCACGATGTGGTAGTTTCAATTAAGAAAGGTGTGCGAATCCGATCTCACCCAACCTGTTCTCCGCGTGTTTGGAATCCGTTATACGCCGTTGCGATTGGAGCAGATTTGGATTGAACATTGACGGTACTCTTCTGAATCACCTTCGCTTCGCCGATGACATTGTGCTTATTACTAGCTCGCCAGAGGAAGCGTCCGAGATGTTGGATCGTTTGGACCAAGAAGGGAGTCAGTACGGTTTGACGATGAACACATCAAAAACGAAAGTCATGCGGAACCGATTCGCCGGAGGTGCGACCGTAACCTTAAAAGGGAGCCCAATCGAAGACGTCGAAAATTACGTGTACCTCGGGAGTGAGCTAAACATGAGGAATGACTTGGCCGGTGAGCTGAGGAGACGCTGCAAAGCTGGATGGGCAGCATTCAACTCAATAAAGAGCGTCGTGGAAGATACCAGAGATCTCAAGCTCCGTGCGGACCTCTTTAATACAACAGTGTTGCCTGCCCTAAGCTACGCAGGAGAAACTTGGGCCCTCACAAAAGCGCACGAAAAACGGTTAAAGAGTGCCCAAACATCAATTGAGCGCCGCCTAGTAGGCCTGACGTTAAGCCGTCAACGAGAATGAAACTTCACAACTCGGACGTCAGGGCCATGTCGAAGATCAAGGACATTGTACTCCACGTTGACGAAGCGAAACATCGATTTGCTGGCCACGTGATGAGGAGAAATGACGGGAGATGGAGCTCTGCGACGATACCCGCGTGATAAGAAACGACCGCCGGGCCGCCCTCCTCTGCGATGGGCAGATTCTCTGGCCTATCGCAACAATGTCTATGATCAGATTTCTCTTAAGGTCTCTATGCACTGGACAAGCAAGGCTCAAGACAGAGATCAATGGAAAAGAAGTTGGGACCCGCGCAAGGTCAACCGCCGTGCTGAAGAACGGGTCGCCTAAGTAACCTAAGTAAGTAATCAGTGGTAGTGGTGAGAGAGAGAGCACAGAAAAGTCGACTATCAGGGCGAACACTTCAGTAAATAGCGAAACAGTTCAGTTAGCTAATTAAATACAAGCAGTTCCCTTCGATTACCGTTATACCGTCACATACAGTCGTCATCCTTGCACTTGATAGTCAATGTCAGTGCGGCTGCGTGCGGCGCGGTCGCCCGCACCCGTACTGCACCAATCGTTGAACCAGGAAGTGACATTACTGTATTATATCCTTCGTGTTACTGTGCACGCTCCTTCTCGCCGACACGCCCCTATCAAGTGCAAGGATGACGACTGTACAACTGTTGACAGTTTGCCAAACCTCACCTTAAACGTTTGCGTAAGAGCTGTTTGCGTCGTTTTCACAATCGAAGGGAACTATTCGCCAGTTTTGCCATTTGCTGAAGTAATTCGCCCTGATAGTCGACTTTTCTGTATTCTCTCACCACTACCACTAACTCACCTGTAAGCATCCACTATCTGTTCAATCATCTTTCTCTCTCTATTTCCCTCTTTTTCCTTCCACATAAAAGCGGCTGCTGATTGGAGCACAGTGGCGGAGGCGCGGGCCATCGCCTTTTGCTTCGCCCTGCCGCCACGCAACGCGCAACGCGTCGCAACGCGCATGGGTGAGTCCAGCTTCTCTCTTCATAAAACCTCGGCATTATTGATATGTTTAAGTTGTAATTTGTTCTGCCAAAGAGGTTGGTAGGTGGAAGACTTTATTATAAATGGCCTGACGTTTCGACAGGATCGTCGTCCTCAGAGGCCAGTCCACCACCACATGAGCGGAACGATGCCACTCGCTGTCAGTTGTCAGTTAGTGAGACTTGGCATCATTCCGCTCATGTGGGACTGGCCTCTAAGGAAGACGTCTTGTCGAAACGTCAGGCCATTTATAATAAAGTCTTCCACCTACCAATCTCTTCGGCAGCGCATGGGTGACTTTTCCACGAACCTGGTGCTATACACCACACCCCACCCCCTACTTGACGTCAAAATGTGTGGGAAAAGACTGGAATCTAAAAGATCGAGAAGCGAATGCTTTCGCAACTACAATAGACTGTTACCGTTTCCTTTCAAAAGTGCATCGGAACGAGGCAGTAGTGTAGCGGTATTCGAGTGCCGTTTCCATACACCACCGGCGCTGTCCACAAGGTGTAGCACTTGCGTCGATATCAAGGAACCGCAGCGGAACACGCACGCAGTGGTAGAGGATAACCGGAAGTGAGAGAGCGCAGAGAAGTAGCGAACTTGGCTATGCTCACACTTCTAGCCGGCAACGCGGGCGGGATAGAAATGGCGCCCTGGTACCACCGCCCTTCAGTCCGGTTCCAGTGCATATTTGAAAGGAGAAATTGGGAGACACTGCAGCTGCAGACCTATTCACCCCACACACGGCAAGGAAAAGGATTCCCGGACGTGGATGTACAGTTTGCTCTAACCGCCCCCAATGCGGCTTGAATATGCTCCGAAACACCTGTGCACCCAATGCACAACATTCACCTGAGCACGCATACGTTTGGAAGACAGTGTCTTGTGGGAATAGGATCAACTGATAAAGAAGCAGGACTAGATCACAATCGCTAGTGCTACACTGATCAATGAAAAATTCAACCGAGGCAAGACCAAGAGTAGTTGCACTGCTCACAATAACGCAAAGTACACGTTATTGTAACAAAACCTACTGATCGGAGTGTTCCATAACTAACATTATTGATCAGAAGACGAGGCTAGAGATTACCAGTAATTCGCTTGGAAGTTGCTCTCATCTAATTCTATAGTACTTATAACCGGAGTTAGACGGGGCGTGTCAGCATCGGGTGGGCTTTGGCGCAGGGCTAGCCTCCCGCTTACGCAAGATTGATTGAAAACTGCTGGCGCCGACCGAAACCATGCCCCACTGGCGCGCCCCAGTGACTTCGGTGATTTTGACTGGTAGACAGCGTACAATTATGATCACTACAACGGACAGAGCGTGAGACGAGGAACGGATTGGAGGCTGCAGGGTGGTCTTTCCACTAATGATGCCATCCTGAGCCCACAACAATTGGTGAGAAGAGCTGTTCTGGTTGCGATCCAACTTAAACACACCCTCCTGATCGGTGCAGCTGACACGACTATTGGTGTGGCAGGGACGTGGACTACCGAGACATCTGTTTCGGTTTAGGCGACTTATGGTGGTCTGTTGCCCGCCTCTAAGTGTAGCCTTTTTGGGGGAGTATGCCACCAAGCGGTCCCCCCCCCCCTCCCCCAAACTAACTCAGCCCCAATAAATTCGACTGAAGCCATTGAGAACCATAAAGGGCCGAGATTGAAGAGTATTGAAGTGAGTTTGGAGACAAGAAATAAAACGAAGCGTACCGTACCTTATGCTTATGCTTCTCTGCATAGCCGGGGCATAATATTTGTTTCCATGCTATCACTGCTGTTTTCCGGAAATTTGCACTGAAATCCAATTTCAGTGAACCATACCAGCAGATATACGAATTTTAAGCACCTAGAAGAAATGCATAGACCCACGTCTATCGCCGTATTTATATAGTATAAGTAATGAGCTGTGTTATACACAATCTGAAAAGCAATATGTTGGCTGTAGTTCGAATTATTTGAAACTCAAATCGGTTGCGGATGCCGTTAAATATTCTAATTTCAGTCAAAACCGCTCCCGAAACACAGCTAAAATCCTCGGGGGGGGGGACTGCAGCCGGACGTACATCATCGCTTGGGACCCCCTCAAAGTGGAGGGGGTCGTATGGAGCTGCGGAGTAGGAAGGGGGTCGCTTCTGGTCTAGGCAACTTGTTTTTCGTTTATTTTCTGGCTTTACGGACAGGGAATAAACGTGCTAAGGACACGACGAGCCGAGGGGATCGTATTGCCTTTATTGGACAGCAGAGGAATGCAGTCGCCATCTCCGCCTAAAATTCCCCTCCGCCCCAGCACGTGCCCTGAAAAAAAAAACAACAAACCGAAACCGTAAAAAGGGGAGGGGGATTGTATCAAGCCAACTCCTAGAAGGTGGAGCGGACTCGTCCACAATCCCCAACTAATGACGTAACCTGGGAAAAGTCTTGTGCGGCTGAGCCACGCTATGTCTGCTCGTCTGCCCCTTCTACCGCAGTTAGAATTCATGGGAAGCAGGTAAATTGGTGGTATCTCACAAAAATAAGTGAAATGAGAGTCTCACCACAAAAACGTGAGATCGATGCGTGAATTCGGGTGGGGAATGATAGACGACTTGGGAGAACACCTCGATCATCATAATCACATAGAAGGGGGTGTTTAACACGACGAATACCAACGGCATCACCCAAAGAATTCGGGTTAGTGAACCAGACTGTGCTGTCTGACCTGAATTTGAACTGGTTAGTGCTACGTTAACAAAAAACTACAAATTACCTCACCCCCCACACCAAAAAAAGAAAAGGAACACTAAAAGTAAATCGTCGAAAATCAAACGAATGAATGGAACCGTGAAGGCCAAAACTCGGAAATGCCGAAAATATTCTGTGGAATGGTACTCACCGCCTTGCCGCCGTGAATTACTTCGGTTTTTCGTGTTGAGGAACGTTGATCGCCTAATCTTCAGAACAACGAGAATATTTAGAATAACGATCGTTAAACATGGCAGTAGGTAACACAGTATCGTATCAACGGCCTGAGCGATTATCTGAAAATTTTATTGGATTAGGCAACAACAACACGTAGTTCTTGACAATAACCCCCCACTCTTTTTGCGGCTGGAGCTGTTTCGAGGAAGCCCTTAAGTGTGAACGAAATGTTACCCCACCGGAATATGCTATTAGCAGTTATCACAAGAAGCTGAGTTGTGGGCAAAAGTCGTGCCCCAGGTGGGAGTGAACCCGCACCTCACACTTTCCAGGCGAGTGCGCTATCCGTCACGCCACCAGGGCCGCTTTTACCCCCTCAGCTTAAAGACACATGGTACGCTCAAAACACATTGAGGGTGTATGAGACTAACAGCCCCCCAGCTGTCGATGTGTCGTGGTTTCCCCGCCTGAAACTGCACGGGGGTCCGAGTACGGGACCGTGGGAAAGGCTTATTCCTTGCTACACCGCCGCCCCGTGCCGCCCGAAATGCAACTTGCGCGCGGCGAAATGCAACTTGCGCGCGGTGCATTTTGGGCGGTGTAGCAAGGAATAAGCCTTTCCCACGGTCCCGTACTAGGAACCCCGTGCAGTTTCGGGCGGGGAAACCACGACACATCGACAGCTGGGGGCTGTTAGTCTCATACACCCTCAGATCTGTTGAGACGCTTACCCTCTCAGCTTAACGGCTTTTATGCCGTAGCCTATCAGCACTCACACGTTTAACTTGGTGAGTGCTGATAGGCTACGGCATAAAAGCCGTTAAGCTGAGAGGGTAAAAGCGGCCCTGGTGGCGTAACGGATAGCGCACTCGCCCGGAAAGCGTGAGGTGCGGGTTCGACTCCCGCCTGGGGCACGACTTTTGCCCACAACTCAGCATTCTTGTGATAACATTCGGAACGCGTACTGCGGCGTTAAACAGCAGTTATCATAACAAAACAGCTTCAAAATGCTATTAGCAGTCTCAAATAAGTAAGACAAAGGCGGTATGCGAGTCAGAAAGCTGCCAATTTCTCCTTGAAGAAAAACTGTACACTCACTTCCTGGGTCCCGGTCCTTGCCGTATGTGAGGAGAGTGGGTCCGCAGTAGCATGCCACTTTCTTCGCTCAAAAAAAGCACGGGAACGACAGGGTAATGACGCCGGGGTGCCGTCGCCATACTTCGCTGCCCGCGCTGCCGCACTGCCAACCGCACATCTAACCCTAGCCAAACGCGCTGCTTGTCTGCGCGTTCCCACTTCTGGTTATTCTATACCGCCGAGTACGCGTTCTGTTGCGGAACTTTGGCAGAGACGCAAAGACTGAACTTTGAGGACAGAGGGGGGGGGTATTTAGACGACAGTAGGTACCAAACCTTCAGTCCCGTTCCCACACAATGAGAAAGTGACATCCCACCGCTGCTGTTTACCCGTTCGACATTGCATACAGCGAGCCTAAGGTTTCGCGGAGGTGAAAGTACAGTTTGTTTTCAAGGGAACTGGCAGTAAATCACCATTTGTAACTTTGAGGGCTCCGGTTGATAAGCTTCCAGAATAGTATGACCAACCAAACAGCCCACGTAAACAAAGCAGCGACTACCGTAAAACGTAAATCTCCTCACATACCTGATAGTTAGCCTCTTTCAAAGCGCACTTTCTCTCGTCTTCGCCATCAACAGGTTTCAAAGAAATGAATTGGAATAGTTGCAGCACAAACGGGATCGGTACCCAGTAGGCAATCATTCGCATCCTGTTCACATGACCGTACTGAAAGAAAGATTATAACCCTGCAGTTCCATTTACCATTGGGTAGGGAAATACTCGAGCAGAGCAAGAGAACCATAAACTTCGCCAGCACGCATCGAATAGTGCTCGGCTGATTTTGGACAAGCTACAGACCTCTGTGAATTCCTGTGACGTGGCTAACTTGTAGCACTTTGTTGCTTCACAGGACTTTACAGGGTACATTTTGATGAG